CCCACCTGCGCAGCCCGGACCGCGACAGCTCCAGAAAGGGCTCTTGCTCTCTCGCTGCGCCGCGGTTGCCGGTAAACCCGTCCCCTTGGTTAAGCCTTGTTGCTCTCAGCTTACTTTGATTCCTTTTGGGCGGATCGGGCCCGACTGGTTTGGCTCCAGGTCCATCAGGCAGTAGGGGTAAGCGGGTGAGCTGTTACGGTGGGCGAGAGGCGGGAGGGCAGGCTAGGCAGAAGTTGTCGAGCAGGGATCGGAGGCACCGTTTCCCCCTCTGCGTCCCCGGTCTGATTTCCGCCCTCAGGTAAGATAAGGGCACTTTGTGGCCTCTGAGCCCAGTTTTCCACTAGAAAAGGGAAATTCCTGACTGTCATGATGTAGCGGGTCGTTCTGATGTTAAATGATGTCACTGTCCTTGTTAAAGTAGCTCTGATGATTTTAAATTCAGCTTAAATAAACTAGGCTGCGGTGACACTAGTAAAGACAAACTACACAGGGGTGAACTGTTTACAGTGAGTGAAGCCGTGTTGTTTAGCAACAGAGCCAACTAAACCAGTTCTAGCTTCCTCACATTAACCGAGGGCTTTGGGGCTTTGTTAATTAACCAGGGCATTATTTGTGTGTTCTGAAAGTAAGCGAGTTTAAGCCACAGGCTTGCCTCTTCTTCCTGGTTGAGGATCAGTGAGGACAGCCCTCAAAATCATTATGTTTTTGCGTTGTGCATACAGAGCTTGTTCTGTGCTACAGAGCCGCTTCAAAAATGGACTTACAATATGAAAATAGTGCTTTCCAGCTCTCCTGGGAGCTCTTTGTGGCAGATCTCTGAGGCCTCGGCTTAGCGGTTGTTATATGACGGTGGCAAAGGAGCCAGTTCCTTTAGCGCTGATGACGAAGTTGGCCTACAGCAAGAAAAAGAGTTTGCCTTGCCTCCAGCCATGTGGTCTTTTGTGTAGCAGGGCTGCAGTGACTGCCGAAAGTAAGGAAGGAGTTGCTCTCACGGATACAGTTCTGCCTGAGGTCCCTGTCACCTGGCCAGGCTGCAGTGACATCACTGTGCAAAGTACAGCCAGAGCTGTCTGGGATGTTCTCCTGACAAAAGGTTGGTTTGCGAAGCTGCTGGAGCTGTGTTCGTACAGGGGAGTGCCTTGCTGGTACCGTAGTGCTGGTGGGATAGACGTGGCTTTGAGAAATCTTCATTGCAGAGCTGAATGCTCGAGGGACTCATTCATACCAAGGCCGAGCCGCAAGAAGCAGCAGTGTGCCACATCCTTCCCTCCTTGTACAAAAGGAGCTGATCTGATCTGAGAGTCTCTCCCTGCAGATGCAGAGAGAAGGTACCAGCCCTTTCTGGGCATAGACTGGGGTAGAGCTGAGGACTGAGTTAGGTTGCCCTGTGACAGTGCAGGTACTGGTTTGTGCGTGTTAGCAGCTGGAGCTCTGTTTGCTTGCTGTCTCCCACAAAGTAAGCTAAGTTATGACGGGTGATGCTTGTGGATGGGGATGGTGGAGCGATGCCGTGTTCAGCTCTGCACAGTCTGCTCAGCGATCTTGCTTGTGACTCATTTCCCCTGCTGCTTTTAGGGTCATGAGGGGGAATGTCTGTTCAGAGTCAGTAACAGCATCCAGATCTTGGCTAGCAGATGAGCTGCTCTGTGAAGACTTCTACTGCGGTCACACTGGCTGCTGCGATGACGTTTGAAGGTCTGCATTCAGTTTTGAACTCCCATCTGCCCCTGCGTGTCCACCCAGCTACCTGTGGTTGCTTGGATGTTGATGAGAACAGGAAGGGCTTAGGGCTAGTTCTTTGGAAGAGCTGCCCCCAGGGTGCTGCCCCCAGTCTGGTCTCGACCTCCCTTTAGTTGTGCCAGTCTTCACATGCAGCTGGTGTGGGAATAGTCATTGTGGCTGCTGCTGACTGGGCCCGGTGAGCAGTTGGGCATTTACCACGTTGGGGGGAAATACTCCGTAGAAAAGGACGTACGTTGTCAAGCCTCTTGCAAGATTTTACCAGTATTTGCAGCAACTGCCCTCCTCCTAGTAAGTGATCTTAGCTGAGGAGTTTGTCCCTTATGGGCTGACTGTCGTTGGACTTGGCTCCCTATAAATACGATGGTGGAGCAAATCCAAGTGTTTTACAACAGCCACGCTTCCTCCTGTGACAGAGAAGCTGCTATAACTCTTGGGCACAGTGTGAGGGAAAAGGTGTACTGCACCTTCTCGGAAAGGTGTAGAGCTTTTCTCTCACATAGGGTGAAGTGACTGGTAGCTGAGCTGCTGCTCAGGCCAGTTTTACTGCTGTTCTTGCCAAAGGCAAACAGGGATAAGGAAGGCTTGACGAGAAAGAGGCTGGGGCTGATCGAGAGTGCAAGAGACCTTTGCTCTGCAAACAAAAGATCACTTCGTATAACTCTTGAGGGAACAAAGAGAGTGTGTGGAGGGCCTGACCGTGGGGAATGCGTTGGACCAAAGGTTCTTGCCTTGCCCAGGATGGAATATGCCGTTTCCATCCAAAGGCCACCAGGGCTAGCCTTGCAAACAAAGGTCCTGTGATGTCTGGACACTATACTGGGCCGGAGGGGAGGGCAGCTAACGCAGCTGTTGATAGGGATGGATTTGTCCCAGAGCAGCAGCATGTTAAAGGTGATGGTTCTGTTGCCCTGTGAGGGACCTGCCCGCCTCGCCCGCCTTTGGAGCCCTGCCGGAGGCAGGGAGTTTGTGAGTTTTGTTTTGAAATAATTACATGCTTGCTAGCCCAAAGATGTGTTCTGCTGAAGAAAGTCGCTGCTGGTTGACTGCTGCCCGTTGAGCGTGGTGCTGAAGCGTTAGTAGACAGGACATTTGACCTGCAAAAGATGCCTTGACTGAGATTTCCTTCACAGAAGCTTAAACCAAGAGGCCCGTGCTCTGCTGGTAGCACAAGGCTTTGTCTGGTAGGAGATGCTGGCATTTCCCCTGCTTTTGCCTTCAGGCATTCAAATGTCTTGGGCCAGATGAACTTCAAAACTGTGAGAGTCAGTAGAGAGTGTGGGTGAAATGCAAAGATGAGCTCTGAGAGTTTCATCAAGGTCTGGAGCACAGCTGTTTTGTTAGGCTACTTGAGGGCATTTGTGTTGTTCAGACAGTACTTTCTGTACCGAGAAAGATTTAAGAGTATTTTAAATAAGCTATTTACATCTGTGGCGTGCTTCTCTTTTCTGGTCTTTGGAAATAAGTGTAACGTAGGGCAGAGTTTCGTGGTTTACAGCTGCATGTATCAGGCATGTAAGGTGGTTTTAATTCCCGCTTTGCCCCAAGAATTATGAGGTCTTTTATGTAAAAGTCTCTGCTGCAACAGAAACACAAATAGAAGTGTGGGTGCTTCCATGAGCTGCCGTGTTGCATGAAGCAGCTGCATTGGTAAGCCTGGTCCGAGGGAGCGAGCCAGGTCTGTGCTGTCCTGTGCAAACATTAACTTAGTTTCTTCTGTAATAAACATAATGGAATTCAGTTTCTCATATGACTCAGGATGATCACATTGAATGCTATAGAGAATTAAGCCTGTGACTTGAAATAGGTGTGTGACTTCTATCTTTCCCTATTGCACGTGCCCTCTGTGCTGGGAAGGTGGGCAGTCTGGAGGACTGTGTGTCCCTAATTTCCTGCTCCATGTTCCCTCTGTAGGTCAGATGCCATCGTTTTATAGCTCAATTGCCCTTAATAAGGAACTGAAGAAGAAAAATAAAACGCTGGCAAAGTTCCTTCAAGGCTTTACTGTCTGCGTTGGTGCAACACAGCATGAACATGCCTCAGTGAAACTTAGTCCTGTGTATGCTATTTCCATGCTTTTCTTATCAAGAGTTTCTGAGATGTTTATTCTCATCCGACTCTGCTAAACAATAACGATCTCTTCCTGGAACAGTACCAGGGTTTTCTGCAAGAGTTGGTCCAGGAGTTGATCTCGAGTTGTGTAGCTGTAGTTGAGGTACTTGAGTGAAGCGAGTTGCATACGGTGCACGCCATGTGTCAGCAGCTTTTAGATCTCTTTTTCTTACGGGCTAATGGGTGGTTTCCCATTATGCCAGCACTGCAAAGCTGGTGTTGGCTTTCAGTATAATCTGGGAAATTTCAGACAAGTATTGTTTCAGTCAGACTTTGAAAATATACGTTTCTCATCTCTCTGTGCCCTGGAGCAGGTTAGCCTTACATAGTAAAGCCCTGGAGGGCGCCCAAGATGTGAATTGCCCTTTTGAAAGGTCCATTTCTCTTCCTTTACTGGTCTGCCAGCTTAGCCATCTGAATACAGACAGTTAAAATATCACCTAAGTCATGATTTCTCTTCTCCCCCCGCCCCCATCCGGTGATTACATGAAAATCTCAGACTTGAGAAAGTATAACATTTTTACAAAATCTGCAGTGGGAAAAGGCTATGTGATGTGACCTTGCCTACTGTTTGCTCAATAGAAGTAGAAATCTAAGGAGTTGTGCCACCGATGCCAAAGGGTGCAGCTAACTCCCGTGGTTCAGCTAAGCAGTTGGATTTACTTTTGGATGTAGATCATTTTGAGACAGGCAGTCTCCCTTCAGCAGGGATGGGGGATCTATAAGCCCAGCCTTCTGATCTGAAAGGCTGGCATGTGCCAGGGTCTGTGCCTGGCTTGCTGATGGTACCCTGAGCTGACTGAAGAGCTGACGGGTTTTGTTCCTCTCCTTTCCAGCACTGAACTGCCCGTGTGATATTTATTTTTTATTAAACACCAGCTGAGGCAGGTGTGGCTGGAAAAGGGGAGGTGCAAACTGCCTCTTGGACACACAGGCTAGGACCTGAAGGGTGTAATTACATGACAGGAGTCAAGTCACATAGTCCAACTACTGTACTTCATCTAAGCGGTCCTCCCCCAGGCCATCTCTGACTTTTGATTGCATGGGTTCCTTTTCTTGGCCATGTACATTAGCGTGAGATGGTGGGTCTTGTGCAACTTCCTGGTCCCTGCAGGTCCCTGCAGACCTGGAGCAGCATGAGTGACCCAGGCTGTGGAGGGGTAGCTCCTCAAGCTATTCCGGCTGCAGGGCTGGGTGAGGCTGCCCTGGTCGCACACATGCTCTTTTGCTCTGTGGTCTGAGCTTCTTGGCCCTAAGCACTGTTGTGACAGATGAGCTGAGACTGGAATGCGATAAAGGTCCGGGGAAGCAGCTGAACCCCATAACCCTGTTGTCTTGGACAAATAAATTAACCACTGGTGATAAAGGGTAGGTGAAACTCCTAGGCGGGAGCCTGGTAGTTCTGTGGGTCAGCATCCAGCAAGCTAGGCACAGACTCTGAGTGAGAAAGGTAGCATGCATCTGGGAGGGGAAGGAGGAGAGGAGAGCAGTGAGGGCTTCTGGTGCCTGGGCCACACTAGGCTGTCTGCCTTGAGCTTTCAAATAAGCCAGAAGTTACCTTGTATGGGAGACGCTGATCCCAAATGGACCAGTGCTTTGTAAACATCCCAGAAACCCTTATCCTGGGGAGTCCTACTCTGTGATGTCTCCTGGCCTTTGCCGGAGGATAGTTCTGCTTTCCAGTAAAGTATCTCCAGCCCAGAGCCTGCTGTGGCAGTTCCCACCACCCCCGTGTGCC